TGTTGGATAAGAAAGCAAGCTGAGCAGGGGCCAGGGGAGCAAGCCAGCAAGCAGTGTTCCTCCATGGCCTGTGCTCCAGCTCCTGCTTCCAGGTTCCTGCCCTGAGTCCCTACCTTGGGCTCCCTGATGAACTGCAACCTGGGAGTTGTAAGCTGAATAAACCCTTTCCTCCTCAAGTTGGTAGTGGTCAGAGTGTATTGTCACTCCCAAAACAAGGGGTCTCACATCTGAGATTGGCTGAGTCAGTGACAGAGTGGACCCAAGATTAAGCTTGCAACAATAAAAGAACTCTTGTGTGTTTGCATCGGTCGGCTCCTTGGTGGTCTTTGGGGTCTCACGAACTGGGCACAACAGTAGAATTGAACAGTGAGTCCTTGTCCACTTCAGCATTGCTTAGCTTGAAGGCCTTTTATTGCCACATCAATCTCACTGCCTGTTATCAATCTTCTGAAATTATTTATCTCATCCAGCTTTAATTTTGGTGAATCATATACATCAAGATATTCACCCATTCCCTTTAAAGGTATGTCCTAGTGATTTTCCAAATTTCGCTGCTGTGGAGACTTGAGTGAAAACGTCCTCCATAGCCTCAAATATTTGAACTCTTGGTCCCAAGTTGGCAGCGCTGTTTCAGCAGGTTAAGGAAGGCACTGCGGTGCTGCAGGAACTACACACTAGGAGGGTTTTGAGAGTCTGTAGCCTGGCTACCACCAGTTCTCTCTCTCTGCTTCATGTTTATGGTTGAAGATGTGAGCGCTCAGCTTCCTGATCCTGCTGCCTGCTGCCACACCTCCCTCCCATTGTGGATTCTGCCTCTGGAACTGGAAACCAAAAGAAACTCTTTCGTAAGTCACTTTTGGTCATGGTGTTTTATCACAGCAACAGAAAAGTGACTAATACAATTGGCATCTATCCTAACGGTTTCCTTTTCATCTCTAATTTTATTACACAGTGTTCTGGATAGCTTTAGTGTCAATTTGACACACCTAGGTAGAGGGAGCCTCAATTGGGGAATTACCTCCATTGGACTGGCATGTGGCCATGTCTGTGGGGCATCTTCTTGATTATTGAGTGATGCTGGAGGGCCCAGTCCACTGTGGGTGATGCCACCCCTGGGCAAGTTGTTCTGTGTTGTATAAGAAAGCAGGCTGACCATGGGCCAGGAGAGTAAGCCAGTAAGCAGCATTCCTCCATGGTCTGTGTTCCAGATTTCTGCCTCCAGGTTTCTGACCTGAGTTCCTACCTTGGGCTCCCTCAGTGATGAACTGTGACCCAGGAGATGTAAGCCAAATAAACCCTTTCCTCCCCAAGTTGGTATTGATCAGAGTATTTTGTCACAGCAATAGAGAAGCTAACTAGAACATGCAGGGTCTGCTCGCTCTTTCGGTGAGGTTTGTTAAGCATTTGTTGATCTTATTATCTTCTCAAAGGACCAACTCCTTGCTTCTTTGTATTGCTTTTTTCTATTTTTTTCCATTTCCATTTCACTAAGTTCTGCTCTCATCTTAATTCTTTCCATCTAATGACTTGGAGCTTGGCTTCTTATTTTCCCAAGGTCCTAAGGTGTATCATTAACTTATTTATTTTAGATCTCCCTGATTCCAACTATAAACCTCTCTCTCAGACTGCTTTCCCTGTATCTTTTCATTTTATTTTATTTTATTTTATTTTAACAGACCATGGGGTAGTGGTTTATTTACAGAAGAGCGGGCGTCCCACATTTACAGCTGCGCCATAAAGTCCTCACTCAAATACAGACCCTGTGACCTCCTGACAGCCGCACAAAATTGTGAGAGAGATGCCCCTTGGTGTTCTCGGCTTATATATCCTTAGCCCCTTCCCCACATGCAGCTAAGGTCGAATGATTGGGTGGGAGGGGTAACGGACTCCCCCCTCAACTCCTTGATGAGAATGGGAAGGAGGTATGACTCTAGCTTGCCGGCAGAGTGGTCGGAGGACATTTCCAGTTAACACTCCACCTCTTCCTCTGGCTCTTACATTCTTTTCACCAACTTCTTCTGCAAAAGTCACTGAGCCTTGGAGGGGGTGATAGGCATGGGATGACCTGCCTCCCGTTGTCTTCCCCGTATCTTATAGGTTTGGTTGGTTTGCTGTTTTCATGTAAACATACCTCCAAATACAGGATAATCCTAAAAAATGTTTTTCCAATTTACAATTTTAATTTCCCTGGCAAACAGCATGTCACATAGTTGAGTCCTCAAGGGACCACCCACTTTGGGAGGACATTGCAAAACTATATGGTAACAAGGAATGACACAAGAGTGAAAGAATGAGTCTGTCTGTGCAAACAAGCGCTGAATCCAGGCTGAGCTGCAAGTTTTGGTCCCTTCTTCAGTTTAAATACCCTTGCCAGATGATGATTTGTATCTGGGTATCAGAGGAAAAGCAAAAAACAATGACAACAATCACCGGTGTCACAAGAAGCATTTGAAAACAACTTTATATCCAGTTTCACAGTGGCTAAGCTCCAACCAGTCCCAGGAATCAGTTGGTCAGCTTTAGATTAGCAACCTTTATTTCCTGCACTGATTCTTCCACTTTTCCTAATGCAGTTACAGGCACAGATTTTGCCTTGGAGAGCCTTAAATAACTGAGAGCCATTTTATTAACTACATGTTAACTAACACATTTACATTGGTCTCTCAAGCCTCTAAGCTTGCACTGTTTTATTGGCTTGTTTGGGTCATAGGAATTTAGTTTGGAAATATCTAGGGGGGGGGCTAGAAATTCTTGGTCAACTCAATTAAAACTTACAGTAAGTTAGCCCACTGAGCTATTAACAAAAATCTGAGCAATGAGAGGAAGAATTATGATCTCTCATCTGTGCTTTTTATATGTGCAAGAATCGACAATATGGGCCACACATAGTTTAAAGCCCAGGTCTGAACTAAGGTCAGGTTTGGTACACAGTGAGAACTGGAGCATTTGGTAGATAGAGAGAAGCTTGGCAACTCAAGTGCCTCATGGTGATCAGACCAGCTCTTCCCCAACACCACACCAGAAAACCACACACCACACTGGCAGTACCCCAGCACAATCCCCAGAACTCCCTGTTGACTACTGTCATGAACACCGGAGCCACGTCCTACACACAGGACACTGCTTTGTTTTTGAGCCTCTTACCTTTTCCAAAGAAAGAAAGCTGCCGTTAATAAAATCAGGAGAAAGAAGCAGAGAATCAAGCACAAAAAGGTTTTCTTTGCTGATTCTGCAGAGAAAAAGAACATTGAGGAAACCTACTTGCATGAACCAAGGAGATCACACAACTGGCCCTAAAATCCGCATGGCTGATGGCATTTCCTGTCAGAGATCTACCGCCAACCCTCGCCCATGTGTCTCAGTCAGCATCAACACTCTTACCACAAACATCCTCACACATCAGAGGACTTGGACATCAGAAGTAGAGTATAATTCAGGTGTGGTAGTACACACTTGTAATTTCAGCCCTGAGGGACAGTGGGGAGAAAGATCATGAGTTCAGGCTAGTTACATGGTGAAGACTTGTCTCAAAAAAGAAAGGAAGGGGCCATAGCACAGCTGGTAGAGTGCTTACCTAGCATGCTTTATAAAGCCCTCCTTTTGATTCCCAACATCATGGAAAATTGGGTGTGGTGGCACATGCCTGTAATCCCAACATTCAGGACGGGGAGGAAGGAAGGAATTCAAGATCATCTTTGACTACACAGTGAGTTTGAGGCCAGCCTGGGCTACTGAGACCCTGTCTCAAATGAAAAGGAAGAGGAAGAAGAAGGGAAAAGAAATACAATGCAGAATCACACACCACACACCACGCACAACTTCAATGATTCTACTTACTGTCTGCCTATGTCACGTATGTCCACCAGAAAACCCTCATACTGTACACATAGTGTATTTCAATAATTTTATTCCTCCTGTGCCTCACATATGCCCTGCACACGTCACCCACACACTCCTAGCATATACTTCAACTTTTTTCTCTCTATAGAAGCATCAGAAGCTCATCTGGCATGGCCAGATCACATCCCCCAGGGCCCTAGTTGGGCCCTTCCTTCATTGCTCCTCTTAGTTCATAAAGATGAATTTGACCAGCAGGGTCATTAGCACCCTACAAAGCCACAACCAGGACAGCCAAGATATGAGTTCAAAAGCCCCTACCCCACCAGGATGAGGACGCCTAAAGCAATCTTTTATCCCAAGAATCTGGTGTGCCTGTGGAAAGTCTTAGTAATCTCAGGTCCACCTTCTGCGGCCTCATCTTAGAACACAGCCCATAGGACAGAACAATCAAGTCTCCAGGAGCCAAGTGTCTGACCTGGAAGAGGACTGGAAGGGACACCAGCAGGGCTGGCCTACAGCCCCTGGCAGCCCCGTCCTCAGAGGACATAGGCAGGATGCTATCCCTAATCCCTAAGCAGAAGCAAGCTTCTTGCTCTAGCCAAGTGGACTGTCCAGACTCTGGAGTTGCCCTGAGCTTACAAACAGTCCCGATGATACCATCTCTCCTCTCCACCTCTGAGCCATCACCCAGGCACAGAGCCCTGAATCTGGACCGCTGACTCAGAAGGGGGGAGCCGAGCTGGAACCCAGTTTGTTTGCTCAAGTCCACACTTTTTCTCTTTCCTTATCAGATCCCTGACCGTAGACTTCCTCCCAGGTTTTTGGTTGTATAACCTCAGGATGAAATTTGGGGAGATGCACAGGACACTTACCTTCCTCAGACAGTGTGACATTGAACCTCTGGGAGGTGCTCTGGTGTGTGCTCCACCACACACTGGTAGACCGTCCCACTGTCTTCCAGGGAGGACTTCAGTTTCAGCCTGCTGGTAACATTGAATGAACCATCTTCTTTCTTCGAGGTGGGGCCAGTGTCAACACCCTCAGTGATCTCTTGGAAATGGGGATCCTTGGGGGTGCGCTTCTCCCACTTTATGCTAATGGCTTCTGGGTAGAATCCATCCACCTTGCATAGAATATGTTTTTCTCCTTTATTTCTTGCTGTGTTTTTTTCCACACACAATCTGATGGCTGGGCGAGCTGCCAGGGAAAAGAATTCACACAGTTGGCCCAGCACCAGCTACCCGTTTCTCTCCTCATAGCCCACTGACTGGTTTCTATCTCAACCACACATCTCTGTATCATGGCTACAACAGGCCAGCAAGACAGAAATCACAGGATGAATAGTGAACAGGCCCTGGTGGGATGTCTATAATCCCAGATGTTTGGGAACTTGAGGCAGAAAGACCCCCCAAATATAACACCATCTTGGACTATATGATGAGATCTTGTCTCCAAAGGGGGAGGGGCAGGACCAGCATAAGAAAACACTGCCCAGCTGGGCATGGTAGCACAGGCCTGTAATACAAGTACTTGGGAAATGAAGGCAGAGGACCAGGCGTTCAAAGTCAGCTTTGGTGAAAGAGCAGGTTCCTGGCCAGCTTCAGCTACACAAGACCCTGTCCTAAGAAACCAAAGAATAAGAAAGCAATAAAAACAATGATCCCAACAAAGGCCAAGCCTGGTGGTTCAGGCCTGTGATCCCAGCTATTAGAGAGACAGAAAGATTAGAAATTAAAGGACTGCGTGGGCTACAGAGAGAATTCAAAGCCAGCCTGGGCTTTGTAAAACCCCTCCTTGAGATAAAAAGTGAAAAGAGGCTTGGATATGGCTCATTGTATGAAGCCCTGGGTTCAATCTCCAGAGCAACAACAACAAAAATCAATCAATAAAACAAAACTTAACAGTTACAGTAGGTCAAAAGGAAACAGGAGCCAACACTGAACAATGTGAATGCTAAAATTATATAGAAAAGTGTCCAATTCTACTGAAGAGGTATTATCTAAAGCGTATTGATCACAAATAAATGATCAAATCAATTAATAAATGGGGGAAAAGATGTCTAAATAAACTATGAGGGTAAGCCCACCAAAGGAGGGGGAGCATAGCGCCCCTCGCCCTAAGTGGGGGCTGCTCAGAGCAACTTCTGCTCAGAGTACATATGGAAGCTGAAGAGTGACTTCTCAGGGAAGAGGCGGAACACTGCATCACCCAGCATCAAGGTCAACATCAACAGTCATAGATTATGCGGTCTGACCTGATGTGATGAGAAGACACATCTGTGGTCATCCTCCAAAACCCAAAACCCTGTTCTAATTATAACAGAAAACCGCAGACAGATGCGAACAGAGGGGCGTTCTTACCACACACAGCAGTCCACATTCCGGACCAGCACTGCCTGGCTTCTATGTGGGTGCTGGAGATGCAAACTCAGACCCTCACACTTGTACTGCAAGCAGCTTATCCACTGAGCCATCTCACCAGGCCCATTTTTTTTTCCTGAAGATTCTGGAAAACTTTGTTTAAATTACCACATTTTAGTAGTTATCACCAGAAATTTTGAAGTCATAAATACTGGGAAAACTTTTTGGTTTTGTTTTTGGCTTTTGGTTTTTTGAAACAAGGTCTTCCTGTAACCCCAGCTGGCCTGGAACACACCATGTATACCAAGCTGGCCTCAATCTCACAGGGATCAGCGTGCCTCTGCCTCCAGAGTGTTGGGATTAAAGGTGTGCACCACTACATCCAGCTTAAAAAAACTAATTTTAATTTTTGCAAATTTCATACATTTCTTTTTTTTAATTAGAAGAAGCATTTCATTACAACAGCATTAACCTATTCAATAACATTTTTCTGAGCTAGGGTACATCTCTTTCAAAATTGGCTGTACATTTCTAGGTTTACAGATGAATTATTACGCTTATATAATCTTTTACTCATTATAAACTCTATAAGACATAAAATTAAATAAGGTTCCAACGTTTAAAAAAGATCTCCACGATACAGTTATAAACTCTACAAGACATAAAATTAAATGAGGTTTTAATGTTTAGAAAAGATCTCCACTTCGTTGTTAAAATACAGTTTCATACAGAAAAATTCATTTTAAGGCAACTGACATTAAGACGTTTTCACATGCATTTCTAATCTCTCTATATAGGACTATTACTGGTCACAGTCACTTACTTTCTGAGTTTCTTGGCATCTGAGCATGAATATAAACTCATCAGATAGACAGCCTTCCTCTCTCACAAGAGCCTCCATACTCTGTCATCCCTGCCACTGCCCACTGTGTTGTCAGGACCCCCATCTATTCCCCCCATCTGCCCTTCTGGTAAATCTAGTCAGCCAGAGGTCCCTGTTCCAGGAGGATCAGCTGTTCCTCATCTACGACAATCCATTGTCAGTATTCCTTTGGATAGAATTGGGGTCTGCTGTTCATTTTTCCAGTAGTATGTTGGGTTACTGTCTGGAAGAGCCTT